AACGTGATGAGATTTGTAATTTGGGCCACTTAGAGTGGAATGTAGGACCCACTACTGATGTTTGGAACAAATTTATCATTATATTTTTTAATTCGCTATTTAATTATTTCAAAAAGGCGGCTTCTATTAAATTCCACAGCTTCTGATCAGGACCGTTGATTCTTAGCCATCGAAGGACTTGGGTATAATAGTTTGACTATTAACGAAGAGTAACCACAATTTGACGTAAGTACTCATTATATTTTTTTTAAGGAGAATTTGCTAAATAACCATATTGGTGAATAGAATTAAGAAAATAGCTATATCAAAACTGAAACAAAGAAAGTAACCAAAACCAAATTTTCTGGACAGAATTGCCCCTAATACTAAGTTGAGTTCTTTGTCCGACAAAATAATATAGAAACTTCACAGAGCATTGTTATTGTTTTTGCCGGTCAAATTAGTTAACTAAATTCCAGAAAAACATGTATGTTCTTGTGAGCAAAATAGAAACAAGATCAAAATTAGCACAAACACCAGAATCTGTGACTCGATTCCTAACAAATTCAATTGGTCTATATTACTAAATTCATATGTACATAAACACACATACCCAAAAATTCCAACAAATTGTCCGAAATTTGGGGAAAGTGACAAATTTATTAAGAAATGGAAAAATCAAATTGCCCAGAAACTCGACATCACAGCCGTGATTAGAAAAGTGAATAGATCTCTGGAGACGCCGCGACGTCGTCACCAAGGTCTCAGAAGAGCTCGTGCTTTGCGGTCTGTCGTCCATGGAAGAGCTTATCGTCAAAAATTCACCCACAATTCACCCATAATCTATTGCTTGATGATTGCTTAAACTCGATCTACATATGATGATATGATACAATGGTCTCTGGTTCTCTTCATCTCTAATCTACCAAGAACCCTAGAACCCAATTTCAAAATAACCCAGAAAATAGAGAAATTTGCAGGAAATTACAAAGATATTCAATTTGATTAGAGCTAGAGAAAATCAAGAAACAACTGAAACAACTAAAAAATAAACCCAAATAACTTAAAAATAAACCCTAAACACGAATATGTAAACCCAAACCTTACACTCCCAAACCCTAAATACCATAATTTTTAACCCTGCAAACCAGAAATCAGTTTGGGAATACTCTTCGCAAAAGAAGATTTGATCTTAGAAGAGACATTGAGAGTAGCGATGCCAAATAGTTCAAAGAAAAAGGGATGAAATCAGTTTGTTGCTGCCATTGGTTGCTGATTTGCTGCAGAAATGGATGCACGAAGAAGACAGAGACACAGAGAGAGAAAAGAGATATGGGCAAATTTGTCATTAATACATATTATGCACACAATATCCTAGCCATACATTTGATATGGTTATTCACTTAATATCACTTTTTTTTATAGTTATCTAGTGCTATTTCCCTATGGCAAACTTTGACAAAACTTTTTGTTACAAAAATCACTTTGCTATATAGTTTGACCAAATTAAAATGGTATTTTGATGGTTTGAATAGTGGTTACAGCCATTAGTAATGGACTTGCTTGTTTTTGACATTTGAACTTTTGAAGTCGATCGTGTTGAATATTAGTTTACTAATTAAAAGAAAAATACAAACCTTGTATTAGAAATGATGTTGTGCTGCTTAATGATATGATAAGACAGTTTTTTAGATATATGTGGAAAGGCGTATAAGGACCTTGGATAAAAGTAGGGAGAGTACAGTTTTCGTAACTATTTTAATTCAATACAAATCTAGGCAACATTATCAGTTAATTAACTTTCAAGCATTCTAACATCGGCGTAAACACATGACTAGGAATTAAATGTTGATTTAAAAGTACGAAATGTTATTAGTTTAATTAGACTGGAGAATCTAAAATACTGTATGGTCAAAAGCATACTACATGATGCAATTAAAGTGAGATAGAATCAAATGAGCAAAACTCCGACACGGATCTTGAGTTACGGACATACTTATGAACTGCTAATCTTTATTAAAATGAATTTTTGATGTTATTAATCTAATTGGAAGGTGAGATGACAATCCCCAATCTTTTCGGTGTTAACAAAAAGGGGAGGAAGAAGAAAACATTATAGCCGGCCTATTAATATATACCCAAATGTGGTCCGAATTACCCGACAAGATCTCGGATCGAACGGTCAAGAATCGTCCATGGTTTACCTTCAACGGCTCATGATTTTTCATTTTAAAAATTGTAGGAAAAATCACGTCTATGAAAGAATATAATGGCTATGATTGAAAATAATTGGGAGTACGGTCAATGACCGGAATGAGTAAATTGATATTGCTTTATGAGTCATTATTTATTACGTTCGCAAACTTAAACCTTTTGAAAATAGTATATAAAACTACACTTGAGATTCTGCCTCCTTTTTGTTTGTTTTGAAAACATCCTTTTGTAGCTTCATTTATTATAGAATTTGTCCCTAACTGCACCGATTACACTAAACACACTAACTACACTCACTTTTTCTACTATTATTTCAACTTTCGGAGCAAAGCGATAAAATTTGTTGTAGCGCAAATCAAAACTTATTTAGGCCCAAATGAAGGAATCTGAAGGAATTGTGGCCCAGTTATTAAAGTATTTAAGAAGAAAAAAAACAGAAAGATAAATAAGAAGTCACACGTGCGAGTGTGTACACAATTCTCAGAGGGTATTTATTTAGATCCTGTCGGTTTCTCCTTTGACCCCTCCGTTTTTACCTCGTCTTCAAACAAATTTTAATTTTGACCTTTTTTACCTTCCGAAATATCTCAAACCCAAAAACCTAACCTAAACGAAAAGGACAAAATATCTCTCTGTTCGATTCCCTCATTCTCTGTTCCTCCGCAAGCCTTGAATTCTCGCAATTGGCGTTATCGGAGGCTCAATTTCTATCATCTATCTGATCCGAATCCAGATTACGAATTTCGGTTTTCTTGATTCGATTGTTCTGGATGATTTCCAAGGATCACCTCCATCATCATCACCAGGATCCTCCGGGTACAACCAAACCGTACCACATGAAAACCTCCGGCGTTGCGCCGTCTTCGGCGTCAATTCCGTTGTCGCAATCGGCGTGGCTGGAGGTTCGTCTGTTCTACGTCCGCATCGCGCCGTGCGTTGTTGAGAATGTCCCCGACTTTCTCACCCTCCGCCACCCTCGCCGCGAAACCGGCGCTTCCCTCGAGGTTAACGGTGTTCGCGTTCCTTCCTCGCAGACGGCGTCTCTTAAGCTCCGCCGTGACAGAGTCGACCGGGAATCGTCGGAGGTGACTTACGTTAGCACCGAGGCCGTGCGCGTCACCGGATGCGTCGATTTCGAGGTTTACGATAACGACGATATGGTTCTGTGCGGGAATCTAGACAGAATCGAAGGTGCGTGGGATAACGGAACGGTGAGCGATCCTAAGACTGGATGGGGAATAGATTGTTACATGGCAATGCGAAATGGGTCAGGCTCTGGACACGGGTCGGGCTCTTCTTCCTCTGCGTTTTTCCAGCCGAAGCTTGGCGTTTCTTCTCCCTCCGTGGAGGTTTATATAGCTGGTTGCTGTGGCGGTGTTCCGGTGATCTTGACCAAGACGATTCAGGCGAGTCCGAGGAGGAAGGTGGCTAGACACGTGACACTCGACGCCATCCCGGAGGATGAAGAAGTTGAGAAAGAGCAAGACGTTGCTACCACTGATGATGGATTGGCCCGCCAAAGGAAACTACAGGTATGATTTGGAATTTGGATTGAGCGCTTGTTCTGATTGATGATTGTCTATGATCCAGATTTAGAACTCTTTGATTGATGATAATCGAAACCTTAGTGACGATTCTTAACTTGGGATAAGAGATTCTTAAACTTTGACGATTCTGAACCTCAGATTTATCTATTGTCTGTAGTGTTTGATTGTATTTGTTAGCTGTGAATGTTGAGACTTACTCTTGATGTTGCAAAATATATGCTCAGAAGTTTGGCTCTTGTCGAGTGTTTCTGTGAGTTTGCAGATAACTTTGAATCAGAAGTTGTTGACATGTTTGTGGTTTGGTTGATGCAGATGATGGAAACAGAAGTTGATGAGTACGATGAGTCGGAGATGAAAATGGGAGAGAGATACTACCCTGAAGGGATGTATGTTGATGAGGATGGGCAACTCTCATGGTTCAACGCAGGTGTCAGGGTCGGAGTCGGGATAGGCCTTGGGATGTGCCTTGGTGTAGGCATTGGAGTTGGACTGCTCATGCGTTCTTATCAAGCAACTACTAGTAACCTTCGTAGGAGGTTTCTCTGATCTACTAAAAACCCAAACCCACGCAGAGAGGGTTATGTAAAAAGAATATTATAATTTTGGTAGATAGAGCTTTTCGTTTTCGTCTGTGTTACATAGTCGGCTTTGTTCATATAGCTTTAGTTGCGCAAGAGAGTCAGATTCTTTTGCTTTCCACAAGTCTGTGTTTATGTTGTTGCTTTTGTGCAGAAAGAAAGAGATATCGTCTTGTTGTTTTTGTCACTGCCAAGTTTCTTCTCCTTCTTAATTTTTTCAGGCGTTATTTAACTTCAACTATTTTACCAAATATAAACATGTATAACCAGAGAGAAAGAAAAAGACTTGTCTATTATTATTAAACCGTTACCGTTACAATAAAAAAAATCCAGGGTCATACATAAACTTAAACTAAGAGAAAAAAACATTTTCATAAACTTTGAGAAACAACTCAAATTACACGAAAGCAACTTTTATTTATTACCAAGGAAACTATTATTTATTTCTAAAAATTATTATTACCAAGCAACTTTTCATGTGGAGGTGGGTATTCCGGTAGCCGACGGTGTGTCTTGGGGCTTCAGAAATTTAAGGAGTGCGATGGCGTTTTTGTCTTCTGCGTTGATTGACATTAATAAAAATACCAAGCATCTGAGGTTCATTAATGCTTCTGGATTTCCTTGAGCTTCGTTGGTAAGATCGCGCATAACTTTACCAAGATCTTCTTCGGTATCTGAATTTTCAACATGCTCCGCTTGGCATGATCTTCTCCACTCCATTAATAAACTGACGACCAGTCCCAATGAACCAATGGTACCAACTGTCACACCAAAGCCTTCCCCGATATCTTTTGAAGAGCCAACAAAATAAGGCAAAAATAGCAGTGAAGAGGCACAGAATAGAGAGCTCATCTAGTAACCGAAGGCCCTTGTACTTGGGACGTAGAGCAGCATCGAAGAGGGAGACTGTAGCAAATATCAGTCCGGCCCAGCCTGCAACTTTCCGGCCGGTTTCGAGGTACTTTGAATTGCTGAAATTTGGAGCATCCATATTGAAGTAGAGAAGCAAGACCGTGAGTAGCCTGAAACCGAGATCCTTCGCTAGAGCAGAAGAGCTCGTGTATTGCTGAGTGGAGTAAACGCGAAGAAACGTAGTAATCCCACCATACTTGTTGGCAAAGCTCTCAAACCCCATAACCAAAAGAAGAAAATGAAAGGATTTAGAGATTTTAGATAGATTTAGAGAGGCTGAGTGAGTGATATTTCTTTATTGCTCAAACGCTTGCATTACAATGAGTCATTAGAGCCTTATTTATACATAAAAGAAGGATCTCGAATCCTTGAGAACCCTAAAGCAATTGATTAAGATCTAGCCGTTGATATCTCTAGTAGATAAGACAGCTAGAGCATCAAAACGGTTTTGGTCAAGCTGGAGGTTTTCCTGGTTTCTTGCTTTTCCTGAGTTGCTTTTGCATTTTTGTCCTTTTGCAGGGGAGAAGATGAACGTTGCAGGTTCAGGTTGTGGACTGGCTTGATGGGCTTTGCAACCTCAGTTTGCGAGTCGTTTTGAGGCTCATGTCAGATAGAAACTTGTGGATGATATAAACTTAAAAAAACAAATGAAGAAAACTTCAAACTCCAGACTCGTACTTTTTCTGATCCGAAAATCAGTCGTTGATGATATAGCCATATAGGTAACAGATTCGCATAACATAATTTAATTTATTCATTTTCAAACGTAATACTAACTTAATATAATTTTAAATTAATACCTTTTTCCGGTTTAAGAGGTTATAATGTTAATGATGATAACTCTAGCTGGAGGTCTACACTAAAACGTAGGTGTGTCTATGGTTACAGGTTATATTAAATACATCTTTGAAAGGAAGTCCATAATTTCACTTGCTCTTTTATGCCGTGCGTTATATAGGACTTTGTTACCAGTCCTAAAAAAAAGATTATATTTTTGTAGTTATCAAAACCCTTCATGTGTTCCGCCTGTAGCTTCATTTATAGATTATCTGTTTCTTAATTAGAAGCGCTAAATTTGTTTGTATATTATAAATATGGCATTCTCCTCCATTTACTTTCTTTTTTATGAAACGTCGTTACGTCACGATGGACTTTTTGGGGCTTCTCTTCATTAGGCCATTTGGTAATTGGGGATCACTTTACTTGCTAGTCAAATGAAAAAGAGATCTCCTTTTATTGTCCACGTTGCTTTTATTTATTTTTTACTTTGGAGTATTAGTTAAGATGTCTCGAGTCTTAAACGCCAGAAGTGGACCGGCATCAATTCACAAACTCGACCTTATTTAGAGCAAAAAATATTTCTATTGTGGATTTTCTGTTACGAATTTTTGTTTTGGGGGTTCAATTTGTATAGGAAAGTTCTCTATCGATCCATTATAGTTCATAGCTTCATATGTATACCTTTCTGACATCAAAGTTTAATCACTTTTCGGTGATCAGATGCGTGTAACACTGTAATCTCTACCAGGAGCTCAGTATAAGAACCTGTAAATGAACTAGAGTAATAAAGAAATATCAGCCTTTAACAAAAATAAAAGAAAATATATATCAGGAAGAAATTTACTCTACATGACATCAATCTCTTTGTTGGCGTTAGTGAATCGGTTAATTTCACAATATCTAGACTTGTTTCACTCTACTGATTACCCTCAGGAGAAGCGACAGTAAAAGTTACCGAGATCAAAACCCGTTGTGATAGAAAACGATATGACTCCAGGGAACACAGTGATTGTGGTACAGAAAATCAGAGTGGCGATTTTGATTATGAATTTGAGGTAGTTTTGATCAAGGTCGATCGGAGGCCAGTTGTCTTTAAAATGTATGAATATAATTGATATCTATAAAGAGATGTGGTCTAGATATTAGGTTTAGTAATTTCGAATATTACTATATTACTTGACAATCACACGATCAAAACTATTGTTTAGATATCCTCAGATTTTGAAGTTTTTAATTGTAAGTAAACATTGTTAGAAAATGTTAATGTGTTATCTTTATCTATAAGAACTAAACGTTTTTCCTTTAAAATATGTAGATTTCCTCATAAATAAAAGCTTTAGATAATATTCGTTAAGCTTTAACCAAAAAAAAAGTTGAATAAGATAATTGTTGAGAGAGGAAGATATTTTTCTTGAGATACGATCTTACCAAACACTTAGATGCCGCCGTGGATTCTAATTTAAATAGGAAAAGGTTTTCAGAATCCTAGTTAGGGTTGAAACGTGAACATTTCTTAACATCACGAAGAACACAAAGCCATGAATCCTGCTACCGTCGATGAATCTTCAAGCACACGGCGTCCATGGTGGTGAGTCCTTTCAACGAGCTTACTTTACACTGGCCTTTTCATTTAGAAACTAAACAATCTTAATTAATATAACATTCGAGACCTGTACGTATATAATTGGTGGATGGTTTTGCTTTTGCAGGCAAAACAAATACGTAATATACGACATTGTCGTGAACGTGTTCTTGATAGGCGTCAATGTTGCAACCTTCTTGTCTATAAGACATAACAAGATTCCCTTAGTTTTAAGAAAAGAACATACGATCGAGTGGTTTGTGGCTTATTACTGCATAGCAAGCATCGCTGGTGTGGCTACATCGGTCTACATGTTCAAGAACATCCCAGAGCGTCCCTTCGAAGGCGGTGTCATGGGTGTTGCTCATATCTGTGGCGATTTATTACTCATACTCTTCCTCTGTTCTATTTCTGTAACCCTTGCTCTTGTTTTTGGTATACCTACTTTGTTATGGTTTATTTTATTCTTTTGTTACTCTTTGAAACCTTAACTAATGATTAATTGAGTTTTACTCTTTTTGTTTGGTTATTTTCGTAAATGTTTCTTTTTATCTAAATTTTCTTGGTTACTTTAACGTTTGTTCATTAAGATTTTGGGTGATTTGTATTAAAAGTTCAGTTCCAAAACTTTGTTACTACCATATTAAAGTTTTTCGTCAGCGATGATGATTGTCGCAAAATAATTGTCCTTCCTTTATAAAAAGAATGTATTTTAAATGCAAATTAGCCCCTGAGCTATTCTGAATTTACTACATTCAACCCTAAATCATTATGTCCCCAAAAAATTCATGATTCCCGTTTACTTACTCATCGAGAGTAGCGAGAAGGAGAAGAAGCAGATGAGCAAGATCCGTTCGTCTGCGACAATGCCCCAACGTAACCAGCCGTCCCCGGCATCGCCTCTCGTAGTCACACTCAACTGTGTCGAGGATTGTGCGCTCGAGCAGGACTCACTCGCCGGCGTTGCTGGTGTCGAATACGTCCCGCTCAGTCGCATCGCCGATGGTAAGATCGAGTCCGCCACCGCGGTTCTCCTCCACTCCCTCGCGTATCTTCCACGTGCAGCTCAACGCCGACTCCGTCCTCACCAGCTCATCCTATGCCTTGGCTCTGCTGATCGAGCTGTCGATTCGACTCTCGCCGCCGACCTAGGTCTCCGACTTGTCCATGTCGATACTTCCCGGGCCGAGGAAATCGCGGATACTGTCATGGCGCTCATCCTTGGACTCCTCCGGCGGACTCATTTACTCTCGCGCCACGCGCTTTCGGCTTCCGGATGGCTCGGATCGCTTCAGCCGCTTTGCCGGGGAATGAGACGGTGCCGTGGTATGGTTTTGGGTATCATCGGCAGATCTGTATCCGCTCGGTATTTGGCAAGCAGGAGCTTAGCTTTCAAGATGAGTGTGCTCTACTTTGATGTTCCCGAGGTATGTATCTCTTGTGAATGTCTTTCTTTAGCTTAGAATAAGCAGACTCTCAAGGCACCGAAAAATGATTGTTGAACGGTTTAGCTCCTACATTACTGCATATAATGATTCTGTACATTTGAAGTTTGATGTTTTGCTTCTGTTTAGGGAGATGAAGAACGAATCAGGCCCTCCAGATTTCCACGCGCGGCCCGAAGAATGGATACATTGAATGATTTGCTAGCGGCAAGTGATGTCATTTCGCTTCACTGTGCGTTAACAAATGACACGGTTCAGATACTCAATGCAGAGTGTTTGCAGCATATAAAACCTGGTATGCTCAGTCAAATGAGGTTTTGCTTTCCGCTTTCTCTCATTCCCTTAAGTTCTGGTTAATAAGTTGATTTCGTATCTTAGGGGCTTTTCTTGTAAATACTGGAAGCTGTCAGCTGCTGGACGATTGTGCTGTGAAACAACTTCTGATTGATGGCACCATAGCTGGCTGCGCCCTTGACGGTGTTGAAGGTCCACAATGGATGGAAGCATGGGTATGACTTTTCTATTTCTCTTGTTACATCATCTTCTCTCTTTCTGTGGTTTATCTGGCAATTGATGATATCTTGTTATAATTGCAGGTGAAGGAAATGCCGAATGTGTTAATCCTACCTCGCAGTGCAGATTACAGTGAGGAAGTATGGATGGAGATAAGGGAGAAGGCCATCTCCATCTTGCATTCCTTTTTCTTGGATGGTGTTATACCAAACAACACTGTTTCTGACGAGGAAGCTGAGGAAAGTGATGCAAGCGAAGAAGAAGAAGAGCAAACACCTATCAAACACGAGAGATTAGCACTAGTGGAATCCACCACTAGGCACCAGGGAGAAAGTACTCTCACCAGCACTGAAATCGTTCCTAGTGAGTTTAAGGAATCACTGAGCCCTGGTCAGCAACACGTTTCTCTTCTTACTTCAGACACTGCCGTGAAAACTGAAGTAAGACGCAGCAGATCTGGTAAGAAAGCCAAAAAGAGGCATTCACAGCAAAAATACATGCAAAAAGCTGAGGGCTCCTCGGGATTACATGAAGAAAGTACGTCGCGAAGAGATGATACTGCTATGAGTGACACGGAGGAAGTATTAAGTTCGAGTTCTAGATGTGCTTCCCCTGAGGATCCAAGAAGCAGGAAAACACCACTTGAAGTAATGCAACAGTCCCCCAAGAATCAGCTTGTAATGTCAAGCAAGAAGTTCATCGGAAAGTCGAGTGAACTGCTGAAAGATGGATTTGTAATAGCCTTGTACGCAAAAGACCTCTCCGGTCTCCATGTCTCAAGGCAAAGAACGAAAAACGGTGGCTGGTTCCTGGATACTTTGTCCAATGTATCCAAACGGGATCCGGCTGCACAATTCATCATCGCATACAGAAACAAGGTAAACCTTTTTTGCTCTCTCTCTC